TGACCATGCAAATGTTTCAGCTAATCAAAGAGGGGAACTTTAGCTTTGAGAAGAAAGGAAAACAAGGGCATGTCAAGGCCTAAACCAAAGATGTATGTAAAATAATCTGAGCTGCTTGATTAACTAGAGTGAGATTAGAAGTTGCATTTTTGGCCTTTAAGCATATGCTATAGTATATTATATCACTTTGCTGTAATCTCTTCAACAACATGCCTATATGAGCAGCCTAGTTCTCACCAATATTACAGAGAAAGGGCTATAATCTCTTTTGAAATATTTGTGTATAACGAAGAGAAGGACAAAGTTGGACAAACTCTGCTTCCCAAACAGAAACCACATTGCTTTCTCCAAGCAATCAGATGAATACTAAATTAAAACTAGTGTCTTAAAGTAATAGTAGAAACTGAGTAATGATGAATCATGATTAAAGGGAATCTCTATTACTGCACTGTGCTGTTCTTTCTGTTGTTCCTGTCACACTACTTCCCTGCTGCTAAAAGATTGCATTAAATAGCAATATACACTGTCCATCCCAGATCTTTTTAAATACTCCTGTTCAGTACTTGATGAAAAGCTTACAAATACCACTCAATTCATTGTCAGTTATTTTTAATATGACAAAACCAGGAAGCTTTTGAAAGGCTATTATTATGATAGACATTACACATGTAACCAAGGCTTGAATTTGGACCAAGGCTGGCAATTTAATACAATAAATAGTTTCTTATGTTAAAAGAAACTATAAATATAGATATTTTAGAGTGAAAAAAAGGTGAACAGAAGAAATTTATCAAGACTGTACAAATGCTTTTATTAATAGTCTGTTAAAATGGGAGCAGATACTATAATATGAAGACCAATTTTGCTTTTATTACACAAGTAATTATAATAGTTACATTTTTTAAGTGACAAGGCAAATAGGTTAGTATTCCCTTTACCTTCATATTTTAAGCATATTTTAAGCAAAGAATAAAAGAATAAAAAAGAATAAAACTGTTGGGCCAACAGTTGGCAGGCCCTGTTAACAAGGAAATAATGTTTTTATTTATTTTTTATTTTAAATTACATCTATAGTTTGTGACTGCTTTTCCCAATTCACATTTAGTAAAGAAAGAATTGGACTGACACTATGCTAAGAACCTTTCCAATCACCCACACATAATTGGGATGTTAAATTAAGTGACGCACTTAATATGCAAACCCAGCACGTTCAGAAATGTTCCAACTGAACAGTGATTACGTCAAGCAAAAATGTTGGTCCATTTTTGTAACACCTACAGTAACTCTTTAGATTCATTTGAACAGAGGCGTGATCTTTGCATTATCTCCTAATACTTTTTTCACTTCTTTAATGAGGTATACTTTGGATTTTAATATAAGCACATTTATAATATACATATGTTTTTAAAAAACCCTAAAATCATCACTTATCTATTCTAGGAAAATACCTAAATATTTTTTACTTTTAGAACTGACTTATTTCGTGACAATTTTGGAATTTTTCTTCTCTCACTTCAGAATGCATGACCCTATCTTTGTGTCCAATTAATCAGTACTTCTTGGTGCACAGAGCAGTACATCAAGTTTGTCCTTAATTCATCTAATGAATAATAAATAAGGGTAAGTGGAGACCCTAGTTTGGTCCATCAGAATGGGGAATTTTAGAACTGTCAGTAGAGTCAATGCCAAAAGAGAAAAAAAAAATCTCTTGATGAAATTTCCTTCCTATTTCCTTCCTTCACCCTTGAAGATTTTAACTGACAAACATCCCTTCAAAACCAGCCATTCCTTCTGATTCCGTTTGGTGGTAGAACCACCAGACTTTTGTTTCCTTTCTTGCCAGAAAATTTCTGAAGTAAATTATCTTTTCCTTTCTATATCATATATCTAAATTATGATTTCTTAGAAGAATATTTGCATGAATCAAGTTATATATCTAGCAGAAAATAAGTTAAGCTTAACACTGAACTTGCTAGGCTACATGTATTTCAGAAAGTTATCAGAGATTTAAAAAAATCTAATGCTGGTTTTGTCGGTTTAAATATTGCTGAGTAGTGTCATCTCTACATCTGTATATGTATTTAGTTAATTCATTTTTAGCAATGGATTTCAAGAGTAGTTTGTGGTAGTGAGGAAAAATAATGGGACAGTAGCAAAAATAATGAAGGAAACATAAAGGAAATGTGTCACTTAACATGAGTCACTTAAAAATGGACAAGTTCTTTGTTTTTCATATTGTTAATTTCTAAAGGCAATTGGAGGAGTCTGCATACAACATAACTGACATTTGCTGTAGAAAAAACTAATTTTTGTTTATTAAAAGAAGTTAAAGGTTTTAAGCTCCTTAAGTTTGGATGAGTTTATGTATGTAGATTTAGAGATGATAGCATTTTAATATAATATAGCTTATTTATAATGTTAGAAATCTCTCAGAAGTGTACCTGTGCCCTTCTACCTATACAATTTATTTTAATTTGTGGGGGATTATACATATTTTATGGAAGTAGAATATTTGATTATGTGTTAGTTGGCTTATCTTTCTACATATTTTCAGGTCTGTGTATGGTCAGTTTTAGATGGCAGTTTTCTATAGAGTAGACCAGAACCTACTTAAAATTTGCAAAGCATCACATATATGTGAGCACTTAATTCATATGATATTAAGATGACAATAATGTGATGGTTATATTTATATCATAACTATTAATTGTAAGTCACTCAAACCATTTTAAAAGTAAGAAAAAAATCTAAATTATATAGTGAAATGACTAATGAATTTTAAAGAATGTGAAGGTAGAAACCTGCTTAAATTAGCTCAGACATCAAATCAGTCAAAATAGCAACAAACTATAGAGTCGTTTTATATGTATAGGCTGAAATCTGACAGGAAACTTGCAGTGGATTGTGGCACGCCCTATAAAGTTCATTTATTATCATTATACAGAAAGTACTTTTACTTGTAGATATAGGGATAGTCAAGTGGAAAACATTGTATGCTGAAAAAGTAACAAAGGGCTATTTGGTGAGAGAAGTGTGTCAAGCTTCTAATTACATAATAAACTATTGAAGGCATATATCCCTATGTCTGTCTGTCTGTCTATCTGTCTGTCTATCTATCTGTCTATCTGTCTATCTGGATTGACAGCCTTTTTAAAGCTTAGCATGTTTGTCTTCGTCTCTTCATTTCTGTTTGGTTCCTTGTTATTTGGAGATACAGTTTGAGGTAAATGATTGTTGGAAGAAAAAGCATTTTAGTGATAAATGTTTTCTTCCAAACTACCTGTTTTAACCATTCTATTTGTTTATCAAAGAACAAGCAATTAAGTAAGCAACCCACTGGGTCCATTAATTTTACAGTAACAGTTCAGGATGGTTTTTCGTTATGATAAATTCAAATACAGTAATCTATAGGTATGCCAGTATGTTAAAAAAAATCCAGAAATATTTTTGAAAATCACTGAATTTGTTTGTCATACTGTTACTTTTTCATGTTAGACAATTTGATCTAGTTAATCTGAAGATGTCATCATGGGGGAAAAGACAACTATTCGTTAGTATTAAATATAAAGGGTTTTAAATTTTAAATTTTTTTGGGGGGGAAGGAGGGAGTAAGAGGATTTAATCCACCCTGGATTTTTTTTTCTTCTAACCTCTATCATTTTAATTTATCCTTTCTTTATAACATACCAGATTAGAAAAGTTTGAACTGCATTTTTAAAATAACTATTAGAATACATTTTGAACTATGTCTATTAATCTTTTTCTGTCTTCAAAGACACATTGTCCCATAAAATTGTTCTAAAATAGTATTTATATAAATACTTGCTTTTATTTAAAGTTAAAATGAATTGTTTTTTTCTGGGAAAGAAAATGATTGCTATTTCAAAGGTGTGATATTTTGGCAAGTTGATAAGTTGTTTGATTACATATTGGTTAGTAGGACCAATGCCTCAAACAGGGCCACTGCCTTCAATCTGAGCAAACACCTCAGGCTTCTGCCCAGGTTTTTCTCATAACTACTCTCGCCATTCTCTTCCTATTTCTTTGTATCCTTTCTCGCTTTCTTTAGGGCTTTCCCTCTAGCTTTACCTTACTCTGTATTTGTGTTCCTTCTTTCTCTTCTGTATCTTTCTCTCCCTCCTTGTTTTCTTTTCATTTTGCATCTTTCATTCTTAGAACATTGAGGAAAAAGATAGTAATGGAAATGAAATTTTAAGCAAAATACTTTTATTTACTCAGTTTGATGAGTAACCGGAGGCAGTCTCTATATTTATGGACTTCCTGGTATAAGTTTAGTCGCTTGAAATATGAAAATGTTTAAGAAAGATGCTAGATTACTAGGCTTATGATTATTTCTTTCAGAAGACTTATTTATGTAGCTATTTTTCTCAATTTTTATACTATATGTATATATATCTGCTGTAGAAGTTACTACATGTTCTTATGTAGTAATATTTATTGCTACATGTATTTTCAAATACTTTATTATATATACAAAATTTGGGAATGGTTACAGTTTTGTAAGTATATTCTACACATGCCTTTTACTTGTTTAGATAACGTGTATATGCAGATTATTTCCAATTGTTTGATCTTTATGATTTATTTTAATTACACCTTTATCCATTCCAGAGGCCTTTTATTCATACCATTGTAACATTGATGAGATTATGAATTGTGAAGTATTGAGAACACTGTCATATAATTGTTTTTTTAATATAGTTATAATCATTTAATTCTAGATGCGCCAAATCTTAAATATCTAAGCATAATACATAACAAGTGTGGAATATGAAATTGGAGTTTAATGAATTCTGATGCCTCTAGAAAGCTAGTATCTAAGTTTTATGCTACATTATTATTAAATAGTTATATTAAAATATCGTATAAAATTATTGACCATCACTGCTAAGAGATTTATGAAAGGTGACATACTGTTGTGAAGTTGGTCAACAGACCCTTGGTTATGACCAACTTTTCTCTTTCTCTCTCTTTGCAAGGTGCCTGTGTCGGTGGCCATGATGACTCCCCAGGTGATCACCCCTCAGCAAATGCAGCAGATCCTTCAACAACAAGTCCTGTCTCCTCAGCAACTCCAGGCCCTTCTCCAGCAGCAGCAGGCCGTCATGCTGCAGCAGGTAATGTGGGTTACCTGCTTTGGTGTCCTAGCATGACTCAGAAGGTGTGCACTTATGTTGACAGTACAATGGACATATTTGACAATTCAGTGTCCATTTGAAAGGACAACCTATCAGCATACTAGGATATAATTGTGATATTTTAATTGTAGTACTCCTAAGAAAATTGAGATTCCTTAGTTTTTTTTTAAATTATTAGAATCTAGAAAAAGAGTAGAGAGTTGCAATTTTAAACAATCTTTAAATATTAAAATGCTTAGGCACATTTGATTTGAGGACTTGTCAGCAAAAATGCAAAAAGTACTTAATAATTATTGCTTTTAAAAATTCTAACACTTAGCCGGGCTCTGTGGCTCAGCCTGTAATCCCGCGCCTTTGGGAGACTGAGGTGAGTGGATTGCCTGAGCCCACGGGTTCGAGACCCGCCTGGGCAACTTGACGAGCCCTCATCTCTACAATAAATCAAAAAATTAGCTGGGCATGGTAGCGCACACCTGTAGTTCCAGCTACTTGGAAGGTTGAGGCAGAAGGATCACCGGAGCCCAGCAGGTCAAGGCTGTGGTGGCCGGGAGCGGCCACTGCACTCCAGTCTGGGTGACAGAGTGAGACTCCAACTCAAAAAAAAAAAAAAAAAAAATTCTAACACTTTAGTTCTTCTTTTACTTTACCAGAGTATAAAATTTGAACTGACCATTTTGTTAAAATGGAGAAAGTAACGTCCCAAATATTCCTTTTCAAGATATACTCATTGTTTAGAAAGGGAAGTATCTACTTATTAAAATAAATTTAGGCAGCTGAGCCACAAATTCATGTAATGTATCTTTTTTAAATAGCAAAAATAGCATTCCTAATACGTACCTTATTGGAACATTAAGTGTGTAGAAAGTAGACTTTACATTATACACTTACTTGTCAGAGAGAAAATAGTAATTATTATTATTATTATTCAAGTAAATACCTTACCTGAATTCTTATATATTTACTTACTTTGCAATCTTCTACGATGATGACTACAAACCAGTTACTTGTATAACTGACATTGTTCCGAACAACTGATGGATTGATTTTTTTTTCCCAACAAGAATTCGGTAACCCGATTTTATGTAGCTAAACTTTGATCCTTCCAAGTGGTAGAGTGTGGCCTACTGTTCTATGCCGGTAGGACTTCCAATATAACAATATCAAGTGTGAATTTGGCTCTGGCCCTTTAGAATTCAGGTTTTCTCTACCCTTCGTTTAGGAATTTTTTGGGATTCTGGATCGGAAAATTTCAGAGCTGTATGTAGAACTTTTTCTTTGAATCCAATGCATATGTATTGTTGTTTTGATGAGCTGAATGTTAATGGCTACTCTACCATATGCCAGTCTAGAAGAGTTTAGGAGATTTATAATATATGAAACTTTTGCCTTTATTTATTAAAGTCAAAATGGTTTATTCAGCAACAACTACAAGAGTTTTACAAGAAACAGCAAGAGCAGTTACATCTTCAGCTTTTGCAGCAGCAGCAACAGCAGCAGCAGCAGCAACAGCAGCAACAACAGCAGCAGCAGCAACAGCAACAGCAGCAGCAGCAACAGCAGCAGCCGCAGCAGCAACAGCAGCAGCCGCAGCAGCATTCTGGAAAGCAAGCCAAAGAGGTAGGACCTGGCTCTCTCATCACTGCGCAACAGTTCGAGGTTGAGAAGGGGCTCTGAGAGGCAAGAAAAGCCTCAGATCTTCCTGTCACCAGGCTCTTGCAGTCCCAGGTGCCATATTCTCTATTTTCCCCTGAGCTTCACCTCAGTGACAGTGGAACTCTCAGGCGCTCCTTTTCTGTAGCACAGGACGGGGGAGTTACAATCCAAGGCTGCGGCCCGTTGTCGTCTAATATTCACTAATGAATCACAGTGCACAAAGAGCAAGCTGTGTGGTGGACAAAGTACTGATTATCTTGCATTCACGGAGACTCTGAGTTGGTGAGGGGAACTTATTTTTCTCGGTGGTGCCGCTCAGAGAACATGCATGCAAATTGAGCCTATTGTTGGGGGTGGGGAGGCAAGGGGAGAAACTGGTGGAGCACAGATTTCAAAGTCACAGGCCCCTGATTAATGAACTGCTACTGTAGGTTTGGAGTGGCGAGTAGAAAGTTCCAGTTTGATATGCTCATAAATCAAACTGACAAGCTGGCTTCTCAGGCCTAGCTTGCACTTGTCAGCAAACTGCATCAAATATAAACATAATACAAACAAAACATGTTGAAGTAGTTAAATTGATCAGCAGGTATCAGAGCCGTTGTCTTCAAGCTGCCCATTATGCAAACGTACAGGAAACAGTTTTGACCTCCTGAGGCTTTGTTTCTGTTTGGATTTGTGAATAGAATTTCAGACAGCCATCAACTACAGAATAGAAATTGCTCCCTTATTTCTCCGGAGGCTTTGGGCAATCCACATGACTTGCTCCATTATACAGTCTGTTTTCCAGTGAGCGCATCAGAAGTTTCTCTTTTCCCCAAACTAAAAAGGAAAGGTCTTCCACAGCAGCTTGTCTTTCTCTGAAGTGTGACTGCCATCTCATACCCTCCTGAGTCCAAAGAACTCTGGTTTGTCTTGTAATGCCTCACAAAATTGGAAGTTATACTTTTCCTTATAATAAGGGCACTTTTTTTGCCTTGAACATAATTCTGCCTGTAATATATTCCAACAAGGGAGAAGAGGACGAGAAAGAGCTAACAGGCCCGTCCTGTGAAGGCTACATCCCAGTGTACTAATAGACCACCAGAGACCACATTCATGGACCTCTGCAGATCAAACTTATTCTGTTGGAAAATAAAAATAAAAAATGTTGTGCAAGTTGTCTGTTTCTATAAATTGTTATTTTTTTAGTCTAGAGAAATTTATTATTATCTTCAATAAGCAGATTTAAAAAAAAAAAACTTCAACCTTTGTTACATACTACACCTAGACCTCGCTGCATGCTCCATATTCTTTTAACACAAGTTCCTTGGTTCTCTGATGCTGTTTGATGACTTAAAGAAAGGCTGCTGAAAATCTAGAACTTGCTCACATTCTCCCCTGAACTTTTACCATGGGATGACCAGAAGCTCACCCAGGCAATGAAAGGAGTATGCATTTCTCTGTATGAGAGCTGTTTGCCCAATTTCTGTTCTCTGCTGTTGACTGGATTGGTTTTCTGATACCAGCAGCAGCAGCAGCAGCAGCAGCAGCAGCAGCAGTTGGCAGCCCAGCAGCTTGTCTTCCAGCAGCAGCTTCTCCAGATGCAACAACTCCAGCAACAGCAACATCTGCTCAGCCTCCAGCGTCAGGGACTCATCTCCATTCCACCTGGCCAGGCGGCACTTCCTGTCCAGTCGCTGCCTCAAGGTACATAAAAATGTTGTGCACACTTCATTTTGAATCTTGCACTTTTTACCATGACATGACCTGTCTACCATATGCCTTGAGAAATTTTGTTTTTATGACCTTTAATTTTATTATAAAAACATGATTGTTAACAATGGTTGCATGACCCAATTTTTGAGGCTCAGAAATTTTGCTACAGACTGCTTTCAAGTGTGTGGTAAAACTACTTTCAAGTGTTTTGTTAGATATTAAATGTGTATTTATTAGTCTTATGGGTGGAAAATAAGTCACAAGGGCAACACAATTCAAGCACGATTGAATATACAGGAGGTTCTGCAGGGAATTGGCTTACTGGGAAGGTGGTCAGTAGTCCACGTAACACAAGTGAACTATAAGAGTTTTGGTAGACAACTGACAAAAGCTTCTAATCCTCACACCAGAATCTCCACGTGGGAATGAGAGACTTTATATAGTTCTATAAAGTACATTTGAAATTATGCTTTGTGGAACCCCATCCTATGTCATGGGACCTTATCAATTTTGTTTTCTAAAATAATACTGCCCATGCATGTATTGTAAGTGATCGTTTAAAAAACCTGTCAACTACATTCTTATTTATTTTTCTGTAAGAAAACTTCAAATGTACTCTGATAATATAATTGTATGTTCATAACTCTTAACTTTTGGTAAATGGAAAGAATTTTAACTAAGAAAGAAAAATAGTGGCAAGCAAATGACAATGTAATAAAATTTTCGATTCAAGTAAAAGTTGTATATCATTAAACTTCATAAAAAGATATTCTATTTTGCAATTGGATTGTAACAAATATTGATTCAAAGAAACTTTAATTCAAGTTTAATATATTTGTTACAGAGGGGTTCATAATATAGTAACATTTGCTGTATGTTTTGCTGACTCTTCTAAAACACAGTAAAGAAGATTGTAAATGCAATGGTAATGCTTTTTTTTTCTTTTTATTTGTCTAATTAATGTTTCCTTGACTTATTTTTCCCAGATTTTTTTCTTTCACTTGACATCAAATTGTCTAGTTCACCTCTGACTGAAGCACATTTAGGAAATACAAAAGAGAAAAAGTTTAGATAGCAAAAGAAAAACAAGGCAGTAAACATAAACTTTCCTCAGTTTTTCTAAAAACCATTGGAATAAATCATAGTGTCACCATAGCAATGAATGTTCTAGTCACAAAATAATTGTTCCTTGGAAAAATAAATAGATTTGAGGACAAATTAAAAAATAAATGGAAAAGTATAAATTAATTCAATGTAAATATAAATTTGTTTAATAGAAACTATAATAAAATAGAAGCAATGAGTTTGCCTTATTAACTTTTTTAGTAAATTTTAGTTGAAATTGTGTTTAGGATCTAAGTATATGAGAATCTCCTCAATAGAAAAATATGATCTAATACAATCTTATTTAAATAAAACCATTCAAACAAACATGTCAAGAAAGTATAAAATGTGTTCTTACAGGTTTAAGATATATTTGTGAAACTATATTCTTTTAAAACAAGAAAAAATAGTTCTCCAAACATGAAGTTTATTATTATATTAGCATTCTAATAGTTTTCTTTTTTTTTTTTTTTTTTTTTGAGTTGGAGTCTCACTCTGTCGCCCAGACTGGAGTGCAGTGGCCGCTCCTGGCCACCGCAGCCTCGACCTGCTGGGCTCTCGCAATCCTTCCGCTTCAGCCTTGCAAGTAGCTGGAACTACAGGAGCGCGATACCACGCCCAGCTAATTTTTTATTTTTATTGTAGAGATGCAGTCTCGCCAAGTTGTCCAGGCGTGTCTCTAACCCGCGGGCTCAGGCAATTCACTCACCTCAGCCTCCCAAAGCGTGGGATTACAGGCTGAGTCACCGAGCCTGGCTTCTAATAGTTTTCAAGTGAAAATTTCTGAGCTTTCTTTTGATGGAATTATTGTTTCCTTCTTTTCTGTTATTTTTACCCTTCATACGATATATGAGATAAAATGCAGAGAATGGAGCAGATTTATAAATCTGTCGACATCTGGCTTTGAGCAGAAAATTTATATTTTAAACAAAAAGACAGAATCACTAAAACATGTTTCTATTAACAAAGGTGAAGAAATCCGTTGAATAAATGTAGGGCCAAAAGTGTAGTTGGTTCACTGATCAAAGTTCTTGTTGTTGCCATGTAAGCCACACTAAATGGGGTCATCGTTGTGTTTTTTATCATTTAGATGATCATGAAAAGGATCATCGCGGAGACCTATTAATCAAACAGAGGCAGAGTATGTCAGATACAGCAACTACAGTAAATGATCATGATCATAACCCTATAGTACTATACCCAAAATTAGAGCAGTAAAAAGTAAAGAAGCAATTGTTGGATAGTATAAGCCCCAAATCATTTCTGCCTTACTTACTGGTTATTTCAGGCAAAAATATTTTGAATATTTGAATGTGTATATATACACATACACACACATATATATGTATACACACTTATACATACATATATATTGCATATATATGCACATATGTGTATATATACATAAACAAGTATATATATATGCACCTATATATAATCCTCAAAATAACAAAATTATAGTAATTTTGGTCGAGCAACACATTTACATTTTTCTCTAAAGTAGTTTATGAACTTAACATAAGTTATTTTGAATGTTAAGCACTTAAAGTCATCATTAATATTACTATAATATTGAGTTTTAATGTAAAACAGGCAATTGAATGATGGTCTCTAAGTATATATATGGTTTGTATAAAGAGTGATGATAGGTGTACACAGAAATCAAATAAAAAAGGATGATTTGTAGTTCAATCTTGAATAATATAGGATTTATGAATCTATTTAATATATAAATAGTGAATATATCAACGAGTAATGAAATTTAGTGACACATTTTAACAGTCCAGTACATTGTGTACTATTTAGGAAACAGGAAATTGTGCATGAACTTTAAAAGCTTATATGTTTTTGACATCAGATAAAAGTTTGCGTATTCTAATATGCAATATATCCTCAGGTTTACTGTGACTATATGGTTTGAAATACATGTGATCATAATTTATTTCACTTCAACGTTTTACATATTTTTGCATTTATAAAAGTTATTTAAAATATAGTGTTTTTATTACCAATCTGAATGACAAATCAGGGAATACTAAATACCAGCCAGCTTACTTTTGAATTAGCAAAACCAGAACTAGAAGCAGAGAACTGGGGAATAATAACAAGTAAAATGAAACCTTTTAAAATAAAATATAATAATGCCCTTTAGGATTTAGGATTGTGTTAGAGATAGTCTTTGGCCTCTGAATTCAGGCAAAATCAGCTTCTGGGTTTTGGCTTCATTCTCTGCTTATGGAAGTCTAGATAGCCAAATGCCTACTTCTGGCATCCTGGATTTATTGCACAGTGATCATGACAATACTAACTATGAACAATACATGCCATGCAGAATTACTATTACCATCTTAGTATTCCCTTTCAAATATCAGAAACTTTTTTGATTTGTAACTGGAGGAAACATCTTCTTTATTGCTTTATATGCCGAAACTCCATAGTGAGTTGAAGTTTAAATGTACATTATTACCACAGGAATAAAACTCTGTAAAGTTGCCTAGGAAATTGTATGCCATGCTGCTGTTAATTTTATCTAAAAAACTAACTCGTAAATGATTACATATGTGGGGAAATGCTAAGTGTATTTTAGTTTTTGAGAAAATATAAAGAAGATAGATTGAGATTAAATTATATCATAATTCTAATTGTTGTAGAATTACATATATTACATTCCAATGAACTTAGATCCATTTAATTCATTCTTTTTAAAAAAGTTTTATCTGGGAGTTCTTTCTTGAGAGGAAGACTCAAAAACAGTATTTCAACTTTGCCACATTAAAATACCATGATTTTTTATTTACTTTAAAAAAAGTTTTGTAATAGAATATCAAACTTTCAAAATGCAGGCTATAAAAAATTTAGTGGTACAAACATAGCAAGATTTTTTAAAAAAAAAAATCAGATGTATTTCTATATCCCAGAAGTTCTTTATATGGTGAAGAGTTTTTTTATCTTTGATCTCATTTTCAACCAAATACATATTTTTACTCCCTGTAATTTGACATTTGGACAAGCTATATTTTTGAGGCACATTTCATTAGGCATATTTTAAAGATGGGCATTGTATCTGTAGGTGATAGTAGGCTTCTAGTCAAATAAAAATCAGTACTGTGTTAGGTTTGGCAAATTATAAATGTACACCAATTATAAATGAAATAGATCTCTGAAGGATATTCCAAAACTGGAACTCTCTTCTGGAGAGGAAAACTGGTGACCCAGCATTCAGGCCTGATAAGGAAATTAACTTTGCAATATATACCCTTCTTCATGATTTAGTTGTTCTGGCCGCCGGGCTCGGTGGCTCAGCCTGTAATCCCGCACCTTTGGGAGGCTGAGGTGAGTGAATTGCCTGATCCCATGGGTTCGAGATCCGCCTGGGCAGGCAAGACCTCATCTCTACAATAAATCAAAAAATTAGCCAGGCGTGGTAGCGCACACCTGTAGTTCCAAGCTACTTGGAAGGCTGAGGCGGAAGGATTGCCGGAGCCCAGCTGGTCGAGGCTGTGGTGGCCAGGAGCGGCCACTGCACTCCAGTCTGGGCGACAGAGTGAGACTCCAACTGAAAAAAAAAAAAAAAAAAGTTCTGGCCATATATGTGTACTAGTTTATCAAAATGTAAAATTTAACATGACGTGTGAAAGTCCATTGTAATGTCTAAATAATTCAAATTAAAATATTAAATATCTATTTGGCTTAACAAAATGTATGTGATACAAATACTTCTACCAAAATTCACTTTAAAGTAACCCTAGAAAATCTGCAAAGTACCATTAAATAAGGTAATTAAAAATTCACATAGGCTTACTTTGCATCATAATAGATAAAATTATTTAACATGTAAAAATTAATTACTGGACATAGGAAAAAATGACATTGAATGAATCTTTTAA